TTACAGTGCCAAGGGTAGTGTGAGGGTGGCAGCTCTCACATCCTTACCATGCCCAGGCTTTAGGGAGCAGGGGCATGGCATCGTGGTCTTAATCTTTCATTCCCTCATGCTGTTGAAAACCTGTCCTGTGCTGACTGCCCTCCATATCTATTCTTTGGTAAAGAGTCTATAAGAACATTCGCTATTTTGTTTGTTTTGTTATATTTCATTTTTAAATTGAGAGGTCCTTTTATATTCTGGATACCAGTCCCTTATCAAATCTCAGCTTTTCATCCTGTTAACAGTCTTAAATTTGATGAAGTCCAATTTACCATTTTTTTTCCTTTATGGATCACAAAGACTTTCTCCTAGAAATTTTATAATTTTAGGTTTTACATTAAGGTTTATGATCCATTTAGAGTTATGTGTAGTGTAAACTCTGAATTGATTTTTTTTTCACATGTGGAAATTCAGTTGTTCTATACCATTGAAAAGATGGTCCTTTTTCTACTGTGTTGCCCTTACACCTGAGTGAAAAATCAGCTGTCTACATAAGTGGGAGTCCCACTGGTACTTTATATTCTGGTCCCTTTATCTATTTTAACTATCTTTATGCCCATGTGGCTTTAAAATTAGTCTTGAAATCAAATAATATGAATTCTTCAACACTGTCCTTTTCAAAGTCATTTAAAATATCCTGGGTTCTTTCCATTTCTATGTCAATATTAGAATCAGTTTATCTACTTCTACTAAAAAGCCTATTCACATTGGCCGAATTATATTATTATATTGTGTGTGTATACAAACATGTAACAACAAATCCCATCATTTATGTACAACTATAATGCACTGATAAAAAACGTGGAAAAAATGTCTATTGAGATTTAGTTGAATCTATAGGTAATTCTGGAGAGAAATGAAATCTTATCATTGTCGAGTTTTCCAATCCACGGACAAAGTATCTCTCTCCATTTGAATTGGAACATCTTTAATTTGTTTCACACTGTCATGTCATTTTTATTGTACAATCTTGCATACCTCTGTCAGGCTCATCTAAATATTTCTTTTTTATATTATTGCAAGTGGCATTATTTTTATTTCAAACTATAATCCTTTGTTATTAGCATACAGAAGAACCAATGATTTTTATATATTAAGTGTGTGTCCTTCTCATACTTACTAAGTTCTAGTGGCCTTTTGGTAGATTTCTTAAGATTTTCTCTATAGATAATTATGTCAACTGTAAGTAGTTTCATTTTTCCATTCCAGTATGGATGTCTTTTATTTCTTTTTCTTCCCTTATTGTTTTGGCTAGGTCCACCAATCCGTGTTGAACAGAATAGTAAGAATGCACATTTTTATCTTGTTCCTGATATTAGGACATCAAGTATTAGTCTTTTGCTTGTAGTAGTAAGATGTTAGTTGTAGATTTTGGGGGTAGTGAAGGAAGGTTGTTTTCTATTGCTATTTTGCTGTGAGTTTTTTTTTTTTTTAAGTTATGGATTGATGTTGCCACTTGACAACTGTCCTTCCGGTATATTATATAGATATATAATCTGGTAGATAATCATATGGCTTTTCTTTTTTAGCTTGTAAATATATTGAATTACATTGACTAACTTTTGAGCATTAAACTAACCTTGCACCTTTGAGATAATCCTAGTTGGTGATGATATATTATCCTTTATATGCATTGCATTGTTGGATTAGTTTAAAGTATTTTATTTAGGATTTTTTAATTTAAGTTCATAAGTTTACAGTTATAAAATGAACTTCTTATTTCTGGTAATATTTTTTTCCTGAAATTTACTTTCCCTGGTATTACTATAGCCACTCCGGCTTTCTTTTAATCAGAGTTAGCACAGGGGAGGTTCCTATTCTTTTCCTTTTAACCTATCTCTGCTTTTATATTTAAAGTGCTCTCCTTCTCCCCATCCCCTCCTTCCTTCTTTTTTGTGGAACTGGGGATTGAACCCATAAAGTGTGATTCTTATACACACTCCCTCCTTACCTGCAGTCTCAGTTTCCACAGTTTCAGCTGCTCAAGGTCAACTGTGGGTCTGACAATATTAAATGGAAAATTCCAGAAATAAATAATTCATAATTCTTAAATAACATTTATTATAGTAGAGTTGTGGTTTTCCCACTTTGTTATTCATCTCTTACTATGCCTAATTTATAAATTAAACTCCATCACAGCCATGTGTATATGGAGGAAAGCAGAGTACATAGAGCTGGCTGCTATCTGCAGTTCCAGGTGTCCACCGGCCGTCTGGGAGCATATCCCCGTGGGTAAGGGTGGACTGCTGTTTATAGCTGAGCCTTGCTTATTTCATCCAATCTGACAATCTGCCACTTAATAAAAGTCATTAGACTATTTATATTTAACGTAACTATTGATACAGTCAGATTTAAGTCTCTTATTTGCTTTCTATTTGCTCCATCTGTGTCTTTTGACCCTTCTTCTTTTGAGTGAACTGATTCAAATATTTCCTTTGCATGTTTATTAACTCTGCTTGCTTTGATGTTTTAGGGTTTAACATGTACATCTTGAACTTATCAGCCTACCTTTAAGTGATATTATTTCACTTTATGTATATAGTACATTTCCATTTTATGCCCCCCAGCCTGTTCACTCTGATTGATATATATTCTACATCTATATATGTTATAAACCCCCCAGCATATTATAATTTTTGCTTAAACTGTCAATTATGCTTTAAGGAAATTTAAATAAGAAAAAAATCTTACATGATATCATATGATAACCCCTGTGTTGTGTCCTGCATTCCCATTATAGGTCAATATTTCCATTTGGTATTATTTTCCTTCTGGCTGAAGATTTTTTTTTTTTCTTTTGTAGTGCAAGTATTCTGGTGGTGAGTTCTTCCATCTTTTGTAAATGTAAAAATATCTTTTTCTGTTTTTGAAAGACATTTTTGCTAGATATAGAATGGATATAGAATTTTAGATGGTTAGTTTTTCTTTCAGTTCTGTAATGATGTAATTTCCCTAAATTCTTTTTTGGTAAATTCAGTAGCAAGAAATCTGCTGTCATCCTTATGTTTGTCCTCTTGTGAATACTTTTAAGATTCTGTCCTATTCCTGGTTTTGAGGAATTTGATGATCACATGCTTTGCTGTTCTCTTCTTTATGTTTCCTGTCCTTGGGGTTTGATGAGCTACTTGGATCTGTGGCAAGTTTTTGTCAAATCTGGAAAAATTTTCCATCATTATTTCTTCAAATATCTTTTCCCACTCTCTCTTTTTTCCTTTTGGGTTTCCTGACAAGTGTATAAAGCTGCTTGAAGTTACCTCATGTATCACTGATATACTTTCTTTCTGTATTAAAATTCTTTTTCTCTCTGTATTTCCCTTTGGGTAGCTCCTTTTGTTATACCTTCAGGTTTACGTATCTGTTCTTCTACAGTATCTAATCTGTCATTGCTCCTATCTAGTGTATTTTTCTTCTCACAAATTATATTCTTCACCTATAGAAGTTTGATTTGGGTCCTTTTTATGCAGTCCGTGTCTCAACTTGTGAACATATGGCACATAAGTGTTTTGATCTCTTTGCTGATTCTAACATCTGAGACCTCCCTTGTCAATGCTGGTTTGGTTTCCATTGATTGATTTTTCTCCTCATTATGTGTGGATACAAATTTAAACTTTTGTCACAGAATACCAAAGTGTCTTCAAAAATGTCTCCTTATTTATTCTATCACTAGCAGTGCCTGAGTGTGGCTGTTTTCCCCCGGTCCTGCTAGCACCAAATCCTGTCAGTCTTTGATATGATCCAGTCCCATAGGCTAAAACTATTGACAGACACAACCAATGTCCACAGGCACCAACTATCAGCCCAGTGACGGACAGTGGCAATTCTATGGTGGCCAGGCAGCCAGGGTAGCTGCCTTCATGGTGCCTTGTGGTATTGACCATAGTTTTATTTGCGTTTTCATTGATTACTAGTGACTTAGCGCATCTGTTCTCAAGCTTATTGGTATAAACATTCTTCTTCGGGACACTGCCTACTACTGTCCACTGACCAGTTTCCACTGTATTGTTGGATTTTTAAAAACTCCCTTATTTGAGCTATTTATTTACTAAGAGTAGAGATCCACTTTCACTTTTTCAATAATAAAAAATGTTTTTTGGTAAATAAAGCTATTTTCTTTACAATAAATACTTGTACATGATTTCTTTGAAGAAATGAGTTACATGTTACTAAAAAAAGTACTTTTTCATATATTAAAGGTAAATAGGAATTGATTCTGGTATAAAAACAATGCCCTTAAAGGCAAAAGTTTTTGAACAAAGCAATCATACAAAACATTTATATACATAAATCCATAATATGTAAATATTTTCATATCTATCTGATATCAATGTAAAAATGACCTCATCTTTAGAAATAATCAAGCAGACTCTAAATGCCATTTTACTCCCTTAATAATGAAATGGAAAGTCAAGGAGAGGAAACGTTCCCAGATTATATATTTCCAGCTGATTAAATATTTCTTTCAATGTCATGCCATCTGTATTGAAAATACCCTACAGACAAGATTGTTAATTTGCAATAGTCTAAGATCTATTCTTCAAAAGGAGAAAATGTCACAGTCTTCATTAGGGAAGCTTCTGCCTTCCCACTGAAGAGTGGTAGGAGCTTTCAGAGGCGCACGCTGCCTATTCACCGAGCTGTGGAGGTGCTTGTTGGGAGCGCTGGGAAGAAGCCCCCGATAGAGGCACGGGTCCCATAAAAGGCCTGGTGTCTTTTTATCATCAAGGACAATGTGAGGCAGGCGGGCAGGAGATCGACCCCATCCAGGGACAAGACGTGCAACACGTGTCACAGGCTAAGGGATGCCAGCCCTCTGCGTGTGATGGAGGGCATGCACGCCACAGTTATGTGGTGAGTGAATCCGCTGAGCACTTCCACTGAGGGGGTGACGACAGCAACCCGCAAAGCCCCCCAAGGCTTAGCCCACCCACCAGTTCTGTGGGACTCAGGGCCCCCTCACCGACCTGTTTGGTGCAGATGGTCTCTGGCCACCTCGAATAAACGCAGGTGCATGTAGGTGATGGGGTTGAAGGAGCCGCAGGCCAGGAGCACCACGGGGATTCGGCTCTTCATCTTGTCGGGCGTGTCCGAACCCACGGCAGTGGCCACCCTGCTTTCCTGGAGACAAAAACTCACATCAGGGAGTTGGCACCAAGACAAAAGTCCAGGCCAGTGTTTCTAACCCGGCCTGCGCAGCCATCAGATCAGTAGCATTTAGGGACAGCTCACATGGGCCAGGAATTTAGGCCAAGTGTTATGTCAAGGTGCATATCTTCTGCCAAGTCCTTTCTATAACTCTGAGTGGTGACTTACAAGACCTTAGAAGCTGCTGGGCCAGAACTGGAACCCAGGCAGCCTGACTTGAGAGCCCACACTCTGCCCTTCACCCCATATGCCCTTCCTGGGCGCTGTGGGTCACCTTGAGGACAAGAGGAAGTCTACAAGGCTCCCAAATGTCAACGCTGATAGTCCAAAAGGAACTCAGCAGGCCCCGTGGTAGACAGACACTTTAGAGAAACTTTATTTTGAAATAATTTCAAACATAATGAAATTTGTCCAAGTTCCCCAGTGTTAACATTTTACCACACTTGCTTGATCATTCATTCTTACGTACACACACACACTCACACTTACACACACACACACACACCCCTAATCTGTAAATATCTATAGTAACTTTTTCCTGAAATTTTTGAGGGTCATTTGTAAAAATAATACCCCTTTACCTTCAAGTTCTTCAGCATATGTTTTCTAAGGAGGAAGACATTTTCTTACATAACTGCAGAACAATGATTGAAATCAGGAAATGCTCAGGGCAGCAGGACTACTGTCTAATCGACAGACCTTCTGATTTCACCTACTGTCTTTCATCTGGACGTGAGCACTACAGAGCCAGCTTTCCCTCTGGTCCCCTACTCTTAGCACCAGGGTGAGGTTAGAGGAAGGAAGGAAGCCGCCTGGCCCAGGGCCCTGCCTCTCGGGCACCCTGTGAGCTGCAGGGGGAGTGAAGAGCTCCCTGGGAAGTAGGCCTTGGCCTGACTCCAGCTCCGCTACTCAGTGTCTGGGAGACCTGGGCAGAGCACAGCCCTCTCTGAAACTCAGTTTCTTCATCTGTAAGATGGAGTCACGGTTTGGATGTGAGGTGTCGCCCAAAAACTCACGTGTGAGGTCATGCCAGAAGGTCAGGGGAGGAAATGATTGGGTTGTAAGAGTCTTAACCCTGTCAGTGAATTAATCCCCTGATACAGATTAACTGGATGGTCACTGAAGTGGTGGGGTGTGGCTGAGGGAGGTGGAACTGGGATGTGGCTTTGGGTCTATATTTGTATCTGGAAGGTGGAGTCTCTCTCTGCTTCCTGATCACTGTGATGTGAGCCGCTTCCCTCTGCCACCTCTCTTACCACGGCGGTGTTCAGTTTCACCTGAAGCCCTGAGGAATGGAGCCGGCCGTCTATGGACTGAGACCACTGAAACTGTGAGCCCTCAAATAAACTCTTCCTCCTCTACAGTTGTGCTGGTCAGGTCCGTTAGTCACAGCTGTGAAAAAGCTGACACAGCTGGGGATAATGTCACTCTGCCCCTGACAAGGGAGGGGGAAGGCAAGGGAGAAGCCAGTGCACCTGTGGTGGGCAGCTCAGGGTGGTTCCTGATGTTCCCCACCTCCTGGTGTTCACTTGTAGCCCCTCCCCTCCATCCTGGGTGGGTCTGGTGACTTCCTTCTAATGAACAGAGAGTGGCAATGCATAGGGACATCCTGCCTGAGGGAGGGTCACAAAGTCCTGGCTTCCCGAGAGCTTACCTCTCTAGCTCACTCTGAGGGGCCCGGCTGCCAGGTGCCAGATGCCCCATGAAGAGGTCCACGGGGCTAGAAACCCAGGGAGACCTCTGGTGGCCAGAGCCAGGAGGAATCAGAATGACCAGCGGCTCTGTGTGGAGGTGGATCTTTGATGGTCAAGTTTTCAGGTGAGACTGCTGCCCTGTGGACACCTGGTTCCAGGTCGGTAAGACCCTGAGCCAGAAGACTGGAGACCCACAGGGACTTGAGCGAAGCAGCAGCCAAAAATAAATAAATAAGCGAGTGGCAGGAAGACCAGCAGAGTAGCCGGGGAGGGGGGAGAACAGGGGAGGGAGGCGGTGAGGGGGAGGGGGGGCGCCGTGGACTGAAATGGAGTAAATCAAATTCTGTGCATGCATGAATATGTCAAAATGAACCCAGCGATTATGTATAATTATACTAGTCCAATAAAAAAGCTGAGATAATAAATCAAAATAAACAAATAAGTGTGCTGTTCCAAGCTGCCTATTTTGGGGTGATCGGTCATGCAGTCACAGAGGACGTGGCGGCCAGCAGATGGGAAGCATCCTCGCCTCTTTTATCCCTCCAGTCACAGGGACTTCGGCTATAAGCGTGCAGTTCTGGGGGAACCTGGAGAATTCTCGGTGGCTGGGAACTGGGATCCTCTTGACCTAAGGAATTGTTTTTTATTTTGAATTTACTAGTGAATTATGGTCAACAGAGGAGCTCATTTTGACATATTCATAAGTGACCCAAACATAATTGATTCCATTTTAATCTCTAGCACTTYCTCTCTCCATGCCCTGGTCCCCTTCCTCTACTCCACTGGTCATCCTTCTATTTATCTATTATTTTTTGGTGCAATTATGGTTAATATAAAATTGAAATGCACTGTGATACATTCACACATGCACCCAGCAGAACTTGGTCAGCTTCACTCCCCGTTCTTTCCCTGCCCGTGCCCCTGGGTCCCCTGCTTCTACTCTATTCCATCTCTCTTCTGTTTTTGCAAGATCCTCTTTTATAATTAAAGGGAGAGGTTTTAATCTGGGTGCGTGGTGGACTTTCCCAGGCTCGTATCCACTRCTGCTTGCTTGCTGTTAACAGACCAGCAACAAAGGACTACCTGTCATGGTTTCTTTGTGAGCTCCTCATGGCCACCTGCTTTAAGCTGCCTTGAATGCTCTTTTATTTTTCTTCCAACCAGAACACCTCCAGCACACCCCCATCTCTTGACTCAATGCAGAGGATCACATTATTTAGGTCTTCAATCACTAGTACTGACTGCCTGCTAGGTGCTAGTATCAGAGATGCATTTGGCTTGAAGAACCCAAAGCCTAACCTCAGTGGCTTGAGCAAAGAGAGGTCCATTTGTTTCTCATGTAATAATAAGTCTAGAAGTAGACAGCTGATGGTATTGGATCATGGGCTCAATAATGACCTGCAGTTAGTTCTCTTGCTTCTTCCTCCTGGTCACAAGATCACCCCTGCTGCTACAGCCACCGTGACTTCAATCAAGGCAAGCCACAGATCGAGGTGTTTCAGCCAGCTTTTCTGCTGATGTGACCAAAATACTTGACAAGAACAACTTTAGAGGAGCAAAAGTTTATTTGGGGGCTCAGAGTTTCAGAGGTCCATAGATGGCTGACTCCATAGCTTGGGGCCTAAAGTGAAGCAGAACATCATGGCGGAAAAGCAGCTCAGGACATGGTACCAGGAAGCAGARAGAGTGTTCCTCTCACCATGGACAAAACAGAAACCCAAAGGACATGTCCCCAATGACCCAACTCCTCTAGCCACACCCTCCCTGCTTACAGCTACCACCTAGTTCATCTCTATCAGGAGATTAATGCACTGATTAAGACTCTTGTGACCTAATCATTTCACCTCTAAACTTTCTTGCATTGGCTCACACATGAGCTTTTGGGGGGACACCTGATATCAAGACCATAACAAGGGAGTTGTACTAGACCGCTGTCCCTCTTAATCTGAACATAAGTGTTTTGGAGAACCACCTGTAGATTTTTCTTATTGGCTAGAACTAGATCACATGGCCTCTCTAGCCACAAGCGGGGGCTGGACAGGCATGTGTTTAGCCTCACAGCCTCTCCAGCAGGAAGCAGCAAGAAAGGGAAGCTGGGAATTGGGCTAGCTGGTCTACAGTGGCCACCACAGAGCTCAGGATGTGACTGTGCTCAGAGGCTGCTGAGACGGCTTGAGTCAGCTTGTCTCTGACTTCCCTTTAGTGAATCACATGCCACAATCTAGAAGGCACCTGCCCACGTGCTTCCTATCTACCTGAGAGCAAGTCCCGTGGGGGCAGGAGGCTCTTTGTCTCTGGATCTCGGCTCTGAGCACAGAGCATGGCCAGAGTAGGGCTCAGTGGAGTCAGAAACAGCACTAGCTGCCTGCACAGGGGACCCAGGTCCTGGAACCTTCAATCACTAGGTAATGACCCTGAATACTTCCCCGTGTACAGAAAGGTTGTCGTGGATGTATTTGGAGCTACAGTGTGAAGATGAACAGCTCTGAGCCGGGGTAATGCTGCCTCCCCACGCTCCCTCTGAGGTWGAGGAACACCCGCTCCTGCGTGCAAAGACAGGGGTCTACAAGCTGCCACTGGCTTCTTCCTGTGAGGTGGAGTGGTTTAATGATATATTATTTGCAAGGTGCACTGAGTTATTCACAAGGACAGCCTCGTGGAGACGGGTACTTAAGGAGATGGCTGTTTCTCCCAACTACTTTGAAGCCTCTCAAACTTCTATTTCATTTTGACAAAATATAAAATTTGGAGCCATTAAAACATGGAACTGCAGCATCTCAGGTAGCCTGGGGTTTTCATTCATTTTCCAAAGTTTCCAGAAATTGCAACTTAGAACATTTATTTAAATGGCAGCATCAATGGCAATGGGTGTGTTATTGAGAAGAACGGATGAGCCTCTCTCTTTGCTTGTTTTCCCTGCCGGGCCACACTGGGCCACACTGCTTTTAACAGTGACTGTGCCCCGTCCAAGCCACGTCTTGGGCTGGAGGACGAGGCTCAGGGACAAGGCCAGGGCACCTGAAGCATGTGCATCCTCCAACTTAGCACCCTCCCTGCGAGACCCAGAGAAAGGCCCAGATGGGGTGGGATGGACTCCCTCAGGGTCCACCGGGGATAAACCAGGCTCTGATGTGAGAGCAGATCCACCAGGCACAGGTGACAAAAGAGCCTCACCTGCCTTGCCGTCTCCTACTGTCTCGGGAGAAGAGTAAGTGGGGCAGACGTTTTGCTCTTGGGAAAGGCTGCTCATCAACAGTATTTAATGGAGGCCCACAGAGT